GTGTGCCTTTGGCATTCAAAGCGATATTGAAGAAGGCTGATTATAATTATGATAAAACATTCAGATATTGTAAATTAAGTTCCTTTCCTGTATCTTGACTTTTTATGCATACATCTATTGTTTAAAGGCTTGTTTTTAAATAAAATGTATTATTTTCTATTCTTCAGTTCACAGCTTTCACTCTCAAGTAAATTACCTCACATAAAACATTTCACTCAATTACATATATTTGATAGGCTTGATCATTCCTTCCACTTGCATTACAATACTTAAGGATGACCCGTTAAGTCTACCAGAACTGCATGTACCTTATTTAACTAATCATAACAAATGTATATACTTCTCCAGGAACTATTTGACATCTTTAATGAGAGCACTTTTGTGAATCAGGCCCTCCTGGCTTTTCGTCTGCTCTGCCACCACTTGAATGAATAATTACCTTCACGGTTGGAAGAGGAAACTCGATTGCTGCATCCATTTACACCGATTCTTATCTTATCAGACCATAATGATCAATTAGACCAAGCCTACAGCGTAAATTGCCCTCATTAGATCTGGTATTATCATCTAGTGGGATTTTATCAAAGATCTTTGGCATGCACAAGGGAAGAAAAAAAGCGTTAAGTGACTACAAGTGTCCGGTTCCAGGTTCTCTTGACATATCAGAGCAGAAAACACTCAGGACAGCCGTCATGAGCGGAGACTCAAGAAACCAGGATTTGTGTGTATTGCCCCATACACGCACACCGTCAATGGAAAGAAAAGGCATTCCCACAGAGTTCTGCGACCGCATGCAGCTCTCAGACAGTGTTTCATTCAATTATTTTGTGGATGAAGTGCCAGAAGCGCGGTAGTTGTGTTTAAAACCCTTAAAAATATGAATCCATTGCACTCTGACCATGCTAAGACTCTCCTCCGCACAATGGTTCTGTGATGGACCTGCTTTGAAACAATGTCATGCGAGACATTTCAAAAGGTGTGTGTGTGTGAAGATTTCGCCCCTTTTAAGCAAAACTGAACTGTAGCTCAGCCCCGGAGCAGATGGTGGGAGCGAGGAGGCAAAGGAGGGGAGATGGTGGAGAGGAAGGACATGTGGAGAGAAGAGGGGGCAATGATGGGAGAGTATCCTAAAAGGGAACCAGTTAAGAAAGCTAGAAGGAGAGGAGAAAAGGGGGAGAGGAAGGGGACCAGTAAAGGAGGGGAGGAGGCATCCTTATTGTGGCAGGGAGTCATGCCGTGGAGGGTGCAGCAGTGGAGTGATTTTCAACGTTTGCTGTTTGGTGATATTTCACTTTGATTGAACAGTTTCACGTTTCGTTGTGTATTTAAAGAGTTCAGGGTCTGTCCACCATCAATGTGTCTTTCTGGAATCTCGTGGCTAGTGGTTCTTTTAATGCTGGAAGATCTTTTCAATTTCTTATTGATTTTCGGTCCTTTGCGCTGGGGCAAGTTGCATAGAGTAAGCTTAATACTAGATCAAGAACTGCTCTCTAATTGTAATGTAGAATAGGTCAATACAACATGTCTAAAATGTGTAAAATTAGGTTTTAGGTTAGAGCTTTGCTGCTATGTCAATATAGTGTATATATATTCAGTAATCAACTGTTTATCTATTCCTTTGAACTAACCAATTAAGCAGTTTACCCAGATTATTAGATAACTATTTCAATTGTTAATGTATGACTTTTAGCTAACTCTTATGCTACGTTCACACCGGAAGCGATGCGAATATTCGCTTCGGTCTAAACGCTCCTATCGCATCGCTCTAGTCGCTCGAGTTTCACCGCGGCTGCCAGCTGTGTTTACTCGCATCATTCAAACAAGACGCGCTGGCTCGGGAGCTACAACTACAACAAAATGAACATATTTTACCGTGATTAAATTGTAATAGAAGTTTCTAAATGATGTCGACGTAACAACATACTGATACCGGTTAGTAAAAACCATGAATTAATGCTTGACAAGTCTGCAGACAGACGGCAGGCGAAAAAACTTTTAAAATGCTTGTTTTCTGAATGGAGATTGGGTCGACCAGGCTAAGCTAACGTTGTATATGCTCACTCCACACTCATAACAACGGCCTACAGACATAAATAAACCAGCGACTGTATTCGCCATGACACAGACAGTCTGTGGTTTGTACTTGTTTAACTTCTGTACAGTTTCTGAACAGATATGAGGAGCTGTGAGCTCTGAGTGCTAACTGCTAACAGCTAATGGCTGATGTTTTCTGGTTGAACGTCAGTAACGGCATGCTGAGATCCTCACCGCTGATTGGCTTCCGCGAGAACGCATCACGTGAATTTGACGCTCGAGTTGAAAAAATTGAACTCTCGCGTTTGACGCTGCACAGTCATACTTGTCAACCCTCCCGATTTTCGCGGGAGACTCCCGATTTCATTGCCCTCTCCCGGTTTCCTCCCGGGGTCATATTTCTCCCGCATTTCTCCCGATTTCTGACAAAATCAGATTTTACTCAGGACTGTTTCCACTCGGTACTTTAATACAGCTACACCATTGTTTGGTTTTCACAGAAAATAGAACAAGAATCGACAACTACTCTAC